CAAATTAAATCTTACTATTAGAGGACAGCGAAACCAAGACTAATAATTAAACTATCGAACTCAGAAAGAAAATAATGGGGAAAAGGGCGAAACGGGAGGACGGTGGAAATCTTCCAGGACCTGGCTTCCCCGGGAGCACAAGAAAAGAACCTACCTGCACGGACGGGGACCAAACGGACGGGACGTGACCAGAGCGGCGGCGGCGGCGGTGGCGGCGGCGGCGGCGGCGGCCGGGAAAGCGGCGCCTGTCGAGGGACGTTCCCGGCGGCGGAGCGGCGCCCGGGTCCGGCGGGTGGAGGCCGCGCGCCCCCTGCTGGCCGCGAGGAGGGGCGGCGTCAGAGGCGGGGCCTCGGCGCGTGGGGCGGACACGCGGGGCAGGGTCTCCGGGATGGCCGGGGCGTCCCTCCCCCCAGCGCGCCCCGTCGCTTCCTGGGCGGCCCTCGCTGCCTCCCTCCTCCGCCTCCTCTGCAACCGGACTCCACACCTGCGCCGGGGGTGCTGCACCTATGCCCCCTGCGCCCCCTGCGCCCCAACTGGATTGCGGAGCCGAAGGAAAGCCAGGCCGCCCCCCCTCTTTCCCCCGCACTTTCTGTGTAACTTCCTGTTTCCTGAACCGCTTGGCCACGCCAACCAGGACCCCCCAGGCGAGGCTACAGGGTCAGAGGGGGGGGTGCCCTTGGCTTATCCCCGGGGGAAGGGCAGGGCCCTCCCTGCAGGATGGCTCGGCTGCGGGCAGAGGCGCAGGGAGAGCCCTTCGTGGTGAGGCGGGGGCTCGTTTGCCTGTTGGGAATTTTACTGCCTCGCCTGGAGGTGAGCCGGTGGACGTGGACGTGTCTGCTGGCCCGTGTGCTCTACGCCCTCCTGCACGAGTCCCACCTGCACAGGATGCCAGGCCCTGCTGGCTAATGTTTCACTTGACCTGGAGCCGCCTTCCTTATCTGGGCTGGAGTCAAGGTCACAGCAACCTGAGCGGGTGTTGGGGCAGGTCAGTTTACATTGCATCCCAGTTCCCGACACTGGCCCGGCCTGGGAGGCGGGCAGCCAGGTGCTCCTCTCTGCAGAGCGGCCAGCGGGCGGACTGCCCACTGAGCAGGGGCTGCTGGGCGGAGCCGGGCATGTAGGATTCCTGAGGGTCCCAGGAGCGCCCGCCTGAGCCTGCAACAACCTCAGGACGGTGGAGAGAAGTCACCTGAAATTTAAGTTAATTATTAAATAATAAGCAATTTACCTTACTATTGTTAAAATGTCAATACCATCCGAAGCAATCTACAGACCCAATGCAATCCCTGTCAAAATCCCAATGATTTATTTTTTATTTTCGCCAAAACAGAAAAATCCAAGAGTGACTGGGAACCCTGGGGGCTGGATGGGAGCGGGCAGGGCGCTGGTCCCTCGGGAGCTGCGTGGAGGTTGGCAACCGCGTGAAGCAGGACATCGGGGTGAGACCACCGTGCGGGGTGGCAGTCCCCACCACAGGGCAGACGAGATGCGATCGCTCGCCAGCCCAGGAGCAGCCAGGCAGCCTGTCGGCTGAACTCAGGAGGGAGAATCCCTGGAAAGTGCACGGCCACAGGTCTGCCCTCCTGGGAACGGGGGTGCCACTCGCCTAGGAAATCCGAATGCCCACACATTAGCATGAACACCCCGAGGGGCTGGCCAACCCAGAACCTCCTGCGAGAGAACCCTCCGTACAGAGCACACAGAATCCTCACCCAAGTGGCCTGTGAAAACGTACATTTTTAATCCGCTGTGAACCAACTTGCCATGGGAGACTCAGTAGAGACAATGAGGAGCAGGATCGGAAATGAAAGAACTATAAAGGCCAAAAACAAGGAAGACTAAAATGATTTAAAAAATCAAAGAACTAATTGAAAACATAAGAACAAGATATAGTGGCTGAAATGGAAAACTGAATGCAGTGGTTAAAACCCAGCTTAAAAATGACTGGAGCCTTTTCATACACCAACAATGAACCAACGGAAGAGGACATTGAGGAAACAATTCCATTCACAACAGCATCAGTGAGAATACAGTACTGAGGGGTGAACCGAGGAGGTGAAAACAACAAAAGGTTCCCAGAGAAATGAAAGAAGACGCACAAATGGAAAGACCTTCCCCCTCAGCTGTGGCCTCATGCTCCCAACTCATTCCTGGTCCGTCCTTCCCTCCACCCCAGGGGTGTCGTCCGCTTTGCTGAGAACAAGCCCCCAATCTGACCCGCCAGCGAGGCCCAGATGTGCCCCATCCTTGGTCTCCACCCCCGTCACCGCAGGAGGGGGCAGCACGTGTTCCCACCTGTAGTGCGATGATCCGCCCTTTTAGAATAAGGTCTTAGTTTTAAGCACTTTTCTACCTGCAGCCAATGCCATGACTTTTACAGATAAAAGTCTTCTACGTACGTTTCCCCGGTTCTGGGAGAAAGTTCTTAAAAACTCACACGTCCCTGATTTTACCAGATCTCGCCAAAGCCTGCGGGGAAAAGGGCTCATCAAAAATGCCGACTGGAACCGGAGTGCCCCAGAGTAAAATGCTGAAAAGAGTGAGACATTTCAAATGTAACTTTAACCCAAAGCGGCCGAGAGGATCCGATGTGAAACCCTTTGCTGGGAGGGTTGTCTGGCCAGGCGTGTCGAGCCTGGCCGTGCCCTGACCTCGGCTGGTGGGGGTGGTCCCCAGGGAGCGCCTGCACCTGCTGGCAGTCATTCTCGCTGTGGGAGCTCCCTTCTCTGGTGCGAGACCCACACTGATGGGAGGAAGAACTCACAGGCTCAGCGAGTCTCGGATTTAAATCGAATTGCAGCCGCGTGCTCGCTCTGCATCGCTGTGTAACAAAGTTCCCCAAAGCGCAGCCGCTCCAGACGACAAATGGTGACCACCAGCAGCTGCTGCAGGTTGGGAACCAGAGTGGCTTCGTGGGGAGGTCTGGGCTCAGGGTCCGTCACCTCGAGGCTCACCCCCTCCAGAGGTGCTGGGGGGCCGTGGCCGAGGTCTCACTTCCCTTGACTCGCAGCCTCTCCACGGGCTGCTCCCAGGGCAGCTGCTCCCCAGAGGGAGGCGGGAGAACGCCCAGGACAGAAGCTGGAGTCACTTTAGAAACCACCCCAGAGAGTGGCGTACCAGCACTGTGGGTGCAGAGACCAGCCCTGGGACACCGGGAGGGACCCCAAGGGTGTAGGGTGTGAACAGGAAGGAGGGGGGCCTCTGGGCCGCCTTGGAGGGTGGCTACAGGGGTCTTCCCATCAAGAACTTGGGGTCCTGGGGAGGGTGAGATCAGAGCCTGCCCAGGTGTCCTGATCCCCCGCTTCTGGTGAAAGGCAGGAGGCCCCCCTCTGAGCAGAGGCTAAAATCCACGACCCAGTGGGAAATGGCCAACTTCCTGCCCTGGCCCTTGGAGAAGCTGGGGAGACCGGGGTGGAAATGCAGGGTAACGGCTGTGTGACTCCTCCGGGCGCGTCCTGCTCCGTTGCGGACGCGCTCAGCGTTCCTCGGCTGCCGAGTCCTCACGGCCGAGTTCGTGCAGAGTGCCCACCAGGCCGCGTTCACTTGCTTTTCTTGACCCAAGGAAAGGACAGCCTGTTCAGGGACCACCTGTCACAGGACATCATCACTCACCAGACGGTTTTATTTTTCCCAAACCTCACTCCCGGCTGATTCAGTGTCTGGCTGTCAGTGGAGCCTTGAACTACGGTGAATAGTATCTCCAGGCCTACGATGTCAGGGGTAATTTGGGCACAGATTAGAGAGGAGGCATAGATAGAGATACAGACAGCAAACCATCTTATTACAAGTTTTGGATTTGGGATCATTATTCTAGTAATAAATGGAATAGCAAAGTGTGGTCACCAAGGATAAAATTCAGGCCCTCTTCTCCTCTCCCGCCCCCCCGCCCGCCCCCATCCCACACCCGGCCCAGCTGTGACATGCACACCGCTCGTCGGGGGACATATTTTAATTCTTGGGAACTTGCTCAACACGATCGCTAGTGCTCTTACTCTCGCATGGAAGCCACGCCCTCCCAGCCCACCGGCCGGTGGAATAGACAAAAGGGACCATTTCTACAGTTTACAGGAGGGAACAGTCAGCCTGAAGGTTTTTTGTTTGTTTCTAAATATATTTCTATTGGTTTCAGAGAGGAAGGGAGAGAGGGAGAAACATCAATGATGAGAGAGAACCATTGATCGGCTGCTTCCTGCACGCCCCCTACTGGGGACCGAGCCCACAACCTGGGCCTGTGCCCTTACCAGGAATCAAACCGGGGACTCTTCAGTCTGCAGGCCGATGCTCTATCCACTGAGCAAAACTGGCTAGGGCTCTTTTTTTTTTTTTTAAATAAATGTTTTTATTGATTTTTAGAGAGAGAGGAAGGGAGAGGGAGCGGGAGATAGAAACATCAATGAAAGAGGAACATCATCCATGGCCTGCCTCCTGCACGCCCCCTGCTGGGGATCAGCAACCCTGGCTCACCTGCTGAGCCACACCGGCCGGGCTGGAACATTTCAATCACCTAGAACGTGTGGTGTTGCACCATCTTAGTTTGATTCTGCAGTTACGATCCTTTATGGGCTGGGCATGTCCAAACGGGGCCAAGCAGAGGATGTGAAGTAACCAGAGAGTTCCCAGCCGTCCTGCAGCCTCGCACCTCGATGCCCGCCTGCACCAGGGACCAGGGGCTGGGGGGGGCCCCTCTGGAGCCTGCACACAGGTGATGTCTAGGAAGATGCCCAAGGTCACAACAGAAAAGCCTTCAGGGGCCAGACAGGCCAAGGGTGAGGAGGCGGGGCCAGGTGAGCCTACTGGTCAGTGCGGTTTGGGGTGGACCCTGGGGTGGGCCACTGTGCCTGCGTCCCCGCCCCTGACAGGTGCTGCCCGAGCGCCCGCTGGCCCTCACCAGGGCCGGCCTAGACGCTCCTGCGCTGCACTGCTCCAGGCAGGTCCATGTAAACAGGAGGGATGCAGGACAACGTAACAACAACTAAAGACACAGAAAGAGTGAAGAGAACCCAGGTACAAGCGAGAGGAAGGAAAGCAAAACTCAAAAAGACAGTGGTTTCTTTAAAAATAAAAACAGTTTAATTTGCATTAAGTATCACAACGGGCGGCCTATACTAGCACATTCTCAGAAACACAGCTTAGGCGATGCCAGAGCCAGGAACTGAAATTCTGACAACCCCCAGCGTCTCATTCAACATTTGCCCCAGCAGCGCCTCTAGGAGAGGGACTCTCAGGTCAGGTACTTACTGACATGCTTTTCGCGCTACGTGTGGGCTTCTACCTAAAATTCTCTAAAAGGAACATTTCACCAGAAACAACTCAAATTTAACAACCAAGAACCAAGAACCCGGTGGGGCAGCAGGCAGCTGACTGGCGCGCAGTCTCTTCTCCCCGGCGTCTGGCGAGGAGCCAGTGTCGGAAGCTCAGCCGCCGTCGGAGGGCCAGGCTGCGGGCAGGCGCTGAGATCCAGAGCCTGTTGCCTTGAAAGGAAATGAGGTAAATGAGCATGAAGTCGATTAAAGCTAGAAAATGGTAGTAAGCAAGGGGTCTCAATGATTTCAAACAACATCTTCACTCGAACGTGGAGCATGGAGCTCTACATTCTTTTTTAAAGTAAAATTTCACTTATTCACGTTCTGATCAGTGTTTGATATTATCTCACGCTTTGTTAAGATCCAGGAAAAACTAAGTCCTAATAGCCCTGACCGGGTGGCTCAGTGGTTGAGCACCGGCCTGTGAACCAGGTTGAGGTTCGATTCCCGGTCAGGGCACATGACCAGTTTGCAGACTCGACCCCCAGTGTGGGGCGTGCAGGAGGCAGCCGATCCGTGGTTCTCTCTCATCATTGATGTTTCTCTCTCTCCCTTCCTCTCTCTGAAACGAATAAAAACATTTAAAAAAAGGTTTTTTAAAGAATCATCCTATTAGCCTGCAAATAGTTGCTCTTCCTTCTCTACTGACCCTTTATTCTTGTCAATTCTTTCCTCTCTTCACGCCACACAGTGACTGGGAATTCAGGATGGAGCTCATCCGCTGCCACCCAGGCCCCATTCAGCTAGTGTTGTGCTCCCAGCGCCAAGCACAGGATGCCCTGGCCATGAGGCTGCTGGCCTCCCAGGCCCCGGGCAGCGGAGCCGAGTTAACCAGGCCCCGGGCAGCAGAGCGGAGCTGAGTTAACCAGCACTGGGCTTCGCTAGTAATGCTCCCTGCACACTTAGGCTTTGTGGTGTCAGGGGTCGATTTCTAGCCATTACTCTAGATCAGCAGTTCTCAACCTTCCGGCCCTTTAAATACAGTTCCTCATGTTGTGACCCAACCATAAAATTATTTTCGTTGCTACTTCATCACTGTCATGTTGCTACTGTTATGAATCGTCATGTAAACATCTGATATGCAGGATGGTCTTAGGTGACCCCTGTGTAAGGGTCGTTCGACCGCCAAAGGGTCGTTCGACCGCCAAAGGGGTCGCGACCCACCGGTTGAGAACCGCTGCTCTAGATGTTTCTGGCGTGAATGTAAATTCTCTCGTGGCGACAGCTGTTTCCAACGCCGGCTTCCGCGTGCTGTGAGGGGATGCCCGCCTACCTGCGCTCACACCGGACCCTCCGCAGCGGCGTCTCCCAGGGGCGGCGGGTGTGCCTAGGCAGGAGAGCGTTCAGTTACACAGGATTTACATCCACCGCTCGTTCATCGGCCTCAGCCAAGGGCTCTCAACCTTTCGGAAGTGACGAGCCATCAGAAGTCCATCCAGTGCCGCCCACGTTACATAGAAATTTCTTTCTAGTTTTCCATTCATTTGTGTGATGATGGTCCCTCCTGACAAGGCTGAGGAATTAAAGAGGCAACCATTTCATTTAGCCACCCCCACCCGGAGCAAACAGGCCTCTCCCCTGCTGCCCGCAGCCTGAGCCTGGACGGGCAGGAGGGACCGAGCCTTTGCCAGGAGTGGATCTGATTGCACGGTCCCAGTTCCGGGCTTATTCCCTCAAAGCCACGGATCCCTGCGGTGACGGAACAGCGCCCCCTAGTCCTGGCTGTTCCTGGTAGTGACATAGATTTAGTCAGTTACCCAGGAATTCGGGGGTTTTCACCTCCGGGAAACTTCTAAATAGGCTGAGAATGCCTGGTATTACCAGCAATTATGTGGTCTTAAAACTATTTAAATTTAGCCTTTTAGCCAAAAGAAAAAAATAATTTCATTCAAAAACTATTTTCTAATGGTTAGTGTTTGCAAGAAAAAGACGATTAAAACAGATTTGACTGCAGCGCTGTACCATGCAGTCTAAAGAGCGGCCCATGTTCTAGTGAGGTGAGGACTAGCAAACAAGGTTCTGAACGTATCAGGCCGGGCAATTCCATTACTCTCACCACCACATGCTCAGGTAACACACACCACACACACACGTTCCCCTCGTGACGGAGACGCGCAGCTCCGGGAAGGCGCCGGGCAGGAGCCACTGCAGATTCGGTCCCTCCTGGTCCCTCCGGGCGCCGCCCACACGCCCCGGGGAAGGGCCTGGCTCAACTGGTACCACGTGAACAGGCCATCTGGCTTCCAGCGAAGGTCAAGCGGTTTATCAAACATGTAAGACTGACGCTGCGGGACGCAGGGCTACGAGATCAGGGCACCGGTGTTCTTTCCTAGCATGTTCCACCGGCCGAACACAGCTCTGCACGTGTGAGAACCAGGCCGAGCTACACAGTATAAACATACATGTGAGAACCAGGCCGAGCTACACATTATAAATACACACACACACACACACACACACACACACCCCGACTCGCAGATTCCATGGGATGATGGTGTGGCTCTGGTTTGTTGATTTCTGTAAGAGATGGAGAAGCAAACTTCTCCAGATCGTTCATCGAATAATCGATAGCCCCCAGGATCTGGACAACCTACTTCTTGCAGCAACAGACGTGCATGGCTCAGAGCTGCCGCCGGCACCGCTGCTGAGAGCTCCGAGTGCACTGGACGGACCGAGAGCCGCGCTCTCCCGGGGACTGTGGGCGGCTCAGAGCTGCCGGCGCCTGGCTGCACCCTGAGCCTGGACGCCCCTAACAGACTCCAGACACATGAAAAAACAACACAAAACGAGCCCGTTACCCCCGCAGTGAATAAACACTCGGAGCCAGACTAGCATGTGATTCTTTATTTTTCTAGTTTTTCGTGCACTGAATACCACAGTGGGAGCATCACAAGCAGCATAACCCCAACGAGAAAAAGTTAGACACTTGAGCCTCGGGAGGTGAGACCCCAAACAGCAACTAGTCGCACAATGACTGGTCAAGCTAAGAATTTATTCGGCACATGAACGAAGGTCGTGAAGTGAAACCATCACAATGTGACACTAGATCTAGGTAATCACACACCTACAATCACATCTACCTTCTCGCAACCAGCGACCTGCAAGAATTCATCTACGTGAGTGAGAAACCCCCGCGCTGGCGGGGGGTGGGGGGGTGGGGGGGGGTTGGGTGGGGCCTCCCGCCATGGAACCTCCAATGCCCACGGCCGTGCCCGGCCACAGCCTCACCAGCTTCGCCCTCTTGTCACCCTTGCTTTGTATGTTGTTCAACTTTTTAAAACATTCTTCCTTCTTAGGATCCCCCAGCATTAACATGCGGATTTAGAAGATGAAGTTTCTCAGCTCTGCCCTGGAACGGGAGGCCAGGCTGAGTTCTGCCTAAACGTCACTGCCCTGACGCACCACCTCCTCCTCCTCTCAGCCCTGAGCACTGCTGAGCTCCCATCCCCCGAGAAGTCAGGTTCCTCCTCACTGCTAGGGGCGGAGGGAGCTCCCATTCCCCCGAGAAGTCAGGTTCCTCCTCACTGCTAGGGGCGGAGGGACTCTGGGCTCACGATTTAACGCTACAGGGCAGACAGGAGGGTCCCGGGCACAGAGGGACCTGGGCTCACGATTTAACGCTACAGGGCAGGCTGGAGGGTCCCGGGCCGGTGGCCGTGCTGGAAGCCGGTCTGAGACTGGAGAAGAGCGTCCAGGTCGGCGGAGGTCACGCCCCGCCCTCCAGGCCACACCGCAGCTCCTGAGGCGACTTTGGGGCTCTGGACCCACTTTGTTATCAGTTCTGAAGTCCTTTTATCATGTATTTTCCACATAAAGTTAAAAACTTTGATAAGCAGCCTGACTACTCAGGTGGTGTCGCTGCGCGAGTTCTCCATCTGCCCTCAGTCTCTGGGCTCCTCCGTGCCCGTCAATCCTTATCTTTTCCCCTAAAAGCGAACTGGGCTCGGGTTCATCTGACAGCGAGCTCCCCTCCAATACCTGGGAGCGGATGTTCTACGGCAGCGGCCCGAGGGGCTATTTTCTCTGACAAATGACAGCCTTTGCATGCAGGTAAGATACCCGACCCATCTTTATACTCAGATCGTCTCAAACATTTTTATGGGGTTTGTGCCAATGGAAGTTGTAACAACAGTGAGTCTGAAAGCTTCTATTACTAAGGCCACGAGGCAGACTGACCGGCAGCGGCCCCTCCTGTGGTGCGGAGTGTGTCCTTCCCCCACGGCCTCGCGTCACGGATGCGAATGGGAGGGAGCCCTCGCCCTACAACCCGGTCAGCTGTCACGCCTCGTGGCGCCATCCTGCGGGGGACCCCCTAAAGGATGCTTTCCCTCTCCTCCCCGAAGCCGGTGCTGTCCGCAGCGGCCACGGCCAGGAGCTCGGAGGACTCCTTGGAGAGCCGCGCGTAGCTCGCCCGCGGGCCCCGCTTGGGCGCCAGGCTCCTCAGGTTTTCGTTCTGCAGGGCCGTGGAGCTGGGGCTGGGCCGCAGGAGGACCGGGGCCGTGTCCCGGGGCCCCTCCCTCTCGTCCAGGCTCTGGTTGGCCCGGCCGGCCGGGGCGCTGTTGTTGTTGAGGGTCACGGTGCTGGGCGTGCGGTTGAGGTTGAAGGCCTTCGGGCAGGCGGGCCAGCCCTCCTCGGGGCTGCTGGCCATCAGGCTGCACTCGGACGGGCTCTGCTTGTCCTCGGAGCAGATGGACATGCGGGCGAGGCCGGGGTCCGGCAGGCCGCTCAGGCTGCGCGGCAGCCCCCGCCGGCCCGGGCCGTCCTCCTCCAGCTCGATGAGGTTGGCCTTCTCCAGCCGGGCGTCGCCCGCCTCGTTGTGCAGCGAGTGGTTGGGGGAGCTCTCGCTGGAGCGCACGCCCGAGTCGGACGAGTCCTTCTTGTCGAGCAGGGCGTCCGACAGGTACTCCTTGGCCTTGATGAAGGTGCGGATGGGCTCGGCGCTGCGCTCCGGGGACCGGGGCGCCCTCTCCGCCCGGGCCTCGGCCTTCCTGTCCTTGTCGTCACGGAGCAGGGGCGTGTGGTCGGACTCTTCCGGGCCAGACTCGTCCTCGTCGCTGGGCAGCTTCTGGTAGCGCAGGCCCCCGCCCTTGAGCTTCAGGTCCGTCGGGAAGAGGCTGGGCCTCTCTGAGGACTTCCTGCCCGGGAGGAGCTTGCTGGCGGACTGGTCGGACTTCTCGTCCTCTTCGGTGATGGGGTCCAGGGGGGAGGCGTCGTTGGTGGAGACCCCGGACGAGGAGTAATCGAGCACGTCGGCCCTCTTCAGCAGGAACGGCTTCCTCCCATCCTCCGGCTTCGGGTCGCCGTCCTTGTTCTTCTCCGGCTCCAGGGCGGAGTGGATGGAGCCCCCCGAGGAGCTGGGCCCCAGGTAGCATGTGCTGTGGGGGGAGGACCTGCCACTGACGGCCGTGGAGCCCGGCCCCCCTTCTAACTGCGACATCTGCGCAATGTACTCCCTATAGGCGTCTCGGTACTCGGCCTGCACCTTGTCCGTCAGCTTGGAGATCTCAATGCTGGAGTCCTGGGAGTTGAGGCTCGAGAGACTGGGGGTTCTGCGCGTCTGCGACTGTGAAGACAGAGACAATAACTAAGGATTCAGGTAAGCAAAACGGGGGCGGGGCAGCCCAGGCGTGACTCAGGGGTTGAGCGGCGACCTATGAACCAGGAGGTCAGGGTTCGATTCCCAGTCGGGACACATGGGGCGAGCAGGAGGCAGCTGATCCATGATTCTCTCTCTCCCTCCCCCTTCCTCTCTGAAATTAATAAAAAAATATATATTTTAAAAACCACAAAACTCTCCACCTTTAAAAAAGGGAGGGGCATAATAAACACCAGCTTAGGAAATACATGTGTACACTAAGAATTTTTAAAGTGCTCACTTTTAAAAAGAATTCTGCATGATAGTTTAACAAAAGCTGTGAACTATGGATAATTTTCCTGTTAATAGAAAACTTTATATAAATTTTAATAAAATTAGTTTAATATTTTAAAGTATAAATTAAAGGTTGTGTTAACAAATAATCTTAACACTTGTTTTCAAAACTTGAAATTTTTAACTTTTCTTTTGAAAAAGCCAACTTCATTGATAAAATGTAAAAATTCCCCTTTGAAAAGAGAAAGATTAAAGATATATCTCAAAAACAAAATACTCATATCTTCAATGTATGTTTAAAAAAACAAAACACCTTTCTCAACTTGTAAGATATAATGCTTCTGTCAAATTTCAATTCAGAGTAAGAAAATATACTCAAAACGCAAAAAAGAAAAGAAAAGAAAAAGAACAAAGCCGTTAAAGGGCCTAGAGCTTGGAGGCGGGAGAGGAGATAAACACGGAGCCACCACGGCAGGAGGGGGAGCCATGAGCCAACAGGCAGGTCTTGTAAACAGAGAAATAAAATATTTTTAGAAGATCGGCTCCCAGTGTGAAGGTTTATTTATTTGTCTATTCTATTTTTTTAAATCCTCACCCAAGAACATGCTTTCAATGATTTCAGAGAGAGAAAGGGAGAGGGAGAGAGAGAAACAGCAGTGATGAGGGAGAATCATGGATCGGCTGCCTCCTGCGCGCCCCCCACTGGGGACCGAGGCCACAACCCGGGCATGTGCCCGACCGGGGACTGAACCCACGACCTCTCGGTCCACAGGACGGCGCCCAACCAGCTGAGCCACACGGGCCAGGGCTCCAACGTAAGTGTTAGGGTTAGACTTGCTGTTGATCCCAGAGACGCTAGTAAACGAGGAGCAGAAAGAACAGACGGAGAAGAGGAGAGACGTGAAGAATCAAGGACGCAGGTGGAGCCTGAGCTCTCTGACCCGGAACCCCAGCAGCCAGTCCGGCGCCCTCACCAGCCCAGTTTCCTGTCTGCGCGGCTCTCACCGGTCCCAGCCCCCGAGCTTTCCCTGCGCTCCTCCCTGGGGTCGCGAGTGGCTTCCGAGTGACGACCTCATGCCCCCGCAGAGCCGATGAGCTGACATGGCCCTCCCTCCCGCCCCCTCGGTCACGTGAAGAACAGTGACCCTACCTGCCAGCTCAGGTTGCTGGGCCGCGGGGCGCCCTCGTCCAGGCCCAGCGTGTTCAGCTCCTCGAAGCTGAAGTTGAGGGTGTAGGGGGCCTGGCCCGAGAGCTCGGTGTGCGGCAGCTCGTGGGGGGGCCTCCGCGCCGCCTCCCCCTGGGGGGCGGGGCCGCTGTTGCTCTCGTTGAGGAGGCGGAGGTCCTCGGCGGCCACCTGGTGCTCCGCGCTCCTCATGTCCAGCACCTGCAAGGAGAGGGCCACTTAGAGCCACAGTCCACGTCCAGACCTTCACAGGGAAAGTATCACTCACGTCCGCACTGACAAGTCACAGGTTAGAAGCATCAGAAATTATTTTAAAAATAAAACAAAGTTATTCTACTGGAAACGAGAAGCACACGTCCTGCCAGTAAGTGGATTTCCAGGGAGCGTGTCCGTACCCGCTCACCCTTCACTTGAACACTGAGAGGAGGGAAGGTCAGGGTCCTATGTATGTGATGTGACTAGTTTAGTTTCCGGTTCACTGAAGAGCCAAACAAAAGGCAGCTGGGGCGTGCGGGAGCCGGGCTGGGCGCTGCTCCCGGAGAAAGCAGTTGTGATCAGGAACCACTGCAGGGGCGGGACGGGGGAGCCGGACCCCAGGGAGCGTGGGGCCCAGTCGAGCCTCAGGAGCAGGGGGGCCAGCGGGTGGGAAACGGCTGAGGGAGCAGCAAGGCCGGGGGCTCTGCTGAGCCTGCTGCACGGGGTCCTGGCCGAGGCAGGCGGGGCAGGCGGCCCGGGGGACGCTGGGAGTGAGGAGCGAATGGCCGAGGGCGATCAGACACTGAAGAGACATAAGGACTCTCGCTGTGAGGGGCCACAGGCCTGACCAGGACAGACCCGAGACCACGGCCTGAGGCTTCAGGCCTGACCAGAGGCAGGCCAAGGGGAAGCGGGAGCAGGAGGGGCCCCTCCCAGGTTCCCGGGAAAGGCCAGAGGCCACGCCACCGCGCTGTGTCTGCCTCAGGGAGCACACAGGCGGCCGACGGGCCAAACGCATTTTCCTGCTTTTTCAGAAGCCGCAGATGTATCGTCTAGTCGAGACCACACTCCCCGGCACTGGCTTGACGCCGTGCGGTGAATACCCAGTATCTTACTGTGCTTCTAAAGAGATGCCAGTCTCCGAAGTTCATGTTCATCTCCTTCTTCAGCTCGTCCATGTTGCACTGCGCCAGCACGCGCCCGTTGATGTTGGCCTGAGGACAAGGACGGAGGGAAGAGGGGTCACTGGGGGGGAAGTGCACTCACACCAGCACAGACAGGCCCGGGGACCGGGAGGCGTGGCCACCTGACTGCAGGGAGCGGGCGGCCGAACACCACGGCCGCGCGTCCTCACTCTCAAGGGAAACCCCCTCTTTGGGGACAGGCCAGGGGCCGGCCCCCCAGCTCTGTCCACACCACCTCCCGCCAGGAGCAGCCGCAAAGCTTGTCTCTCCTCCAACCCTGTCACATCCCAGCGTGCACAGCAGCTGCAGGAGGGACACGGCCGGTCAGTGCCGCCCGAGCTCTGTGCGAAGAAAGAGCCGCGAGGCCCCCTCACACCTTTCTCAGCCACAGCAGGCGGCTCAGACACAGCTCCAGCCGCCCCACGTGCGAAAGGATGGACCGTCCCGTCACAGGCAGGTCTGACGTCCCGCAGCCCTGACCCACGGGCGGAATTGGCGGGAGGCCCGCATCTGGAACTGACGCTGCCCGGTCTCCAAGTGGACCCGGCAGGGAAGGTGCATGGGGGCTGGGGCTGGGGCTGGGGCTGGGGCCGGGGCCCCGCCTCGGGAGGACGGCAGTTGGGGCAGGGACCAGCAGCTGCCGGGGGGCTTCGAGAGCCAGGCCTGCGGGTACGCGCTGAGCGGGGAGAAAGCCCGCCCGGGGGAGCATGTCAGCACTCGGGTCCCGAGCTGCCCCGCGCTGAGAGGACACCAGCCGGGCCCTGGCCGGGCCTGCCGCCGCTGCCACAGCCCGGACCAGCTGCGACCGGCACACAGGCTGGCCCTTCGCTGGGCGGAGGGGGGGCAGCGGCACCGCGTTGCTCAGTCCCTGCAGGACGGGCTCCTGAGCCGCACACCTGAGGCTGGCTGGGCCTCTGACTGCTTCTTGCAGTGGAAATGCCTCCGCAGCGGCTGCGGACGGAGCCCCGGGAACCGCAGTGCACGGACAAGCTGCGGGGAGAGGAGCCTCCTCCTGTGCCGGCCTGGCACACCCAGACCCGGGAGCTCTGTCCAACGGGACAGGACCCCAAGTCCCGCAGGACGTGGAAAATGCGAATTCGGGGGAACTGAGAGCATGGCTGCCTTTCTCATCTGTTAAGTCACAAATAAACATGCAGAAGGGACAGGTGGCATCACAGGCCTCCCAGGTTCCGGGCTGCATGAGAAGCAGGAGCTACTGTGCAGCCAAACGCGACCCTTTCGCCCCTGATCGGCCATTGAAAGCGACCCTGCCATGCAGCTCCCGCCAGGTCCGTGCCCCCCACCCCCGGGCGGGCAGGGGCCTCACCTTGCGGATGGTGGCGCAGTACTGCGGCAGCATGCTCGGCTCCAGCCCCTCGATCTGCTTCAGCCGCTCGCACACGGCGTCCACGGTCATGGCGCTCAGCGACCCTGCGCCGGGGGCGGGGCCCGGCCCCTGGAACAGCGCGGAGAACACGTGTGAACGGAAGGCCCATGAGGCTACACTGTGAAGCACCCGATGAAGTCAAGTGTTTTCAAGGCAGGACGAGCTGGGAGGCGTGTGGCTGTGGGCAGGACCCGCGGCCGCCCTTCCCCACGAGCAGCGTTTACAGCGCAGACACGCCTGCTCACACCCTAAGGGGAGCGTCCTGCGAACCAGCCCAGGCCCGCCCTGCAGAAGGCGGGCGCTAAGGGAACTCGGGGGCAGTGACTGAGCCCAGATACAACCCAGGGAAGCCCGGGGGTGGTTTCAGAGGCAGCCAGGGCCTCCCCGTCTCACAGACGAGCTCAGCAGTTTCAGATCCTGGCCGTCCCCGGGGTCTAGACTTCCCCTAAGAAGCTGTTCGATACCAGGTAGCTATAAGGCAGGTTCCTCTTTACACACGTGAAAGTAGACACAACCCATTAAAACCTGGTCTCCTTTCAAAGAAAAGTCAAAATAACAGTCATTCTGCAATTACTTAGAACATTTTCTGAATGTGCGACAGACTACAGAGGATCTGCCTGGGGTCGACTACACAGGAGCCTCCGTGTTACAGGCATGGGCGCTGAGGCCCGGAGTCACGGGATGAACAGCTAGCTCGTGGTAGATGGGACCAGAACCCCAGCATATCGGGTCTTACAACTTCGACCTTCCCTGCTCTAGTTCTGAAGCGTTTAAAGAAACGGTAAGCACCACAAAGAGAAGACAAACCCACCAGCATGGGGGTTAATGTTCCAAATGACCTGTCCTGCTTAGCCTTCGGCCTCCTCTTACAATGATGACACGGCCTCTCCTCGGAAGAGAGAAGCTGACACTTCCTCTGCCTCCTCCATCACGGCCAGGACAGAAGCAGATGTGCACAGCCCACTCCGCCTGCCAGTGTCCAGCCAGTGTGAGGCACTACCTGTAACCTCAGAGCACAACCTTATTCTGTTACGAACTGACGAATAAAGCTGCACACACAGCACCTCGCTGTTCCCTGTGCAGCTAGGGGACGAGACCACGTGGCGCGGAGTGGGGAGTGACTGCGAGCCAGGGCGTCTCCGCACGGTGACAGGCAGGAGGCAGGCCCGTAAACGTTTGGATACGGATGACCTGGAATACACTGCACCAAGCACATCTATTCAGAGTTTATTAAGTTTACATTGAAAATATGCCACACAGTATATAGCCTGAGGTTCAACTGCTTCAAAAATACTAACAGCAAAACACTACTGTTTGGGTCATTCGGTCTTCACTTCTCCAGACAGCCCTCAGCCGGAGGCACACAGCCGGCTCAGGGTGACGCCCACCTCCGAGGGGACTGAACGCCTCGGTAAGCTCATCGCCTGCTGCGGTTCCATTGGTGAGCAGCAGCATAGAAGCCCAGGTGCGTAACTTGATAGTAAGACATCGTCTACTCTCCGCGTGCTCGGCCCGCAGCCCGGGCCCCTCGCCACAGGCCCTGGACCCCTGCCTCTCTGTCTTCCCCAGCCCTCCCCTCTGGTGACCACCCTTCTCTCTGTGTCTGCTCGCTGCTTGTGTTGTTTGTATTTGTTGCTTGTTTGACATCCGCGTGAGTAAAACCATAGGTTCTTGTCTTTTTCCATCTAACACATTTCACTTCGCATGATACTCTCAAGATCCACAAAATGGATCAAAGACTAAACTATAAGACCTGAAACAATAAAACACATAGAAAAAACATAGGCACTAAACCTATGGACCTTGGTCTGAGAGAGGCTTTTGTGAACTTGACCCCAGAGGCAAGGGAAGTAAAAGGAAATAAATGAATGGGACTAGTTCAAACTAAAAAGCATCCGCACAGCAAAAAACAAAAAACATCAACAAAACAAAAAGCCAACCCACCAAGGGTAGGAGATATTCACAAACAACAAGTCCAATAAGGGCTAATGCCCAAACTACATCAAGAGCTCAGACAACTCAGTGACAACCGTGAAATCCGGCCACTGGCCAAGGACTAAATAGATACTTCTCCAAGGAAGACACACAGATGGCCAGCGGACACATGAAAACACCCGGACACCACTAGTCATGAGGGAAACGCACAGGAAAGCAGAGACCCCGCCACGTGTTAGAACGCTGCTGGCAGTAAGGGAGAAGAGGAAGGTGCTGGGAGGACGAGGAGCAAAGGACCCTCCCACTGCGGGGGGTGGGGGATGGGAGGGGGAACAGCACGGAGGCTCCTCAAAGAAGTAAGAGCAGAGCTGCCACCTGACCCAGCACCCCCTCTGGGCATCTACCTGAAACAGCTGAATACACTGATTTTTAAAGTTCTATGTGCCCCTCTGTTCACTGCAGCGTTAGAGACTTTCCTTTCTCTAGTGTGTTTTTTGCTTCTTTGGTGAAAATTAGTTGCCCTGTAACTCCCTCAAAGCTCTAGTCTGACGCAGTTATGTGTCAGCCGAGCGTTATCGGGAGCGAGGCAAGCTGTCAGTGAATGAAACGGTACAGCGCGCTTCGAGAATCGATGAGGAGGAGGCATCACTGCAGGTCTTTCCTATCAGGCTCACAGGTAATAACATTAGTTTGGTGCCCAATGAATCTCATAAAAGGAAGGAGGAAGAGAACAAACGTGATAAGGAAAAAGCAAACGCAATGACTTATCAGGTAAATAATAAGAAACTGACTCGGGCCGAAACCGGTTTGGCTCAGTGGATAGAGCGTCAGCCTGCGGACTGAAAGGTCCCAGGTTCGATTCCGGTCAAGGGCATGTACCTGGGTTGCGGGCACATCCCCAGTGGGAGGTGTGCAGGAGGCAGCTGATCGATGTTTCTCTCTCATCGATGTTTCTGACTCTCTATCTTTCTCCCTTTCTCTCTGTAAAAAATTAATAAAATGTATTTTAAAAAAAAGAAAAAGAAACTGACTCGGTTACTGGGACACAGAATGGCAACACTTAAAGTTTACCATGCGTTCTTACTTGAAAATCGCCTGTTATAAGTCAAGAACAGATAATTTCAGCACACATCACAATTTCTTTTTAAAAAACTTTCTAACACGAAAAACTGAATGCAAAGGATGTTAGTGTGTTTAAACTGTTACGTATCAATGTCAAGGTGCACACAAACTGAGGTTTCTCCAGGCCAAAGTCATGTTAACAGAACAGACTGCAATTGCCTTGATGAGCACGAGAGCGTCAGCGTGTAAGAGTTAGGGCCACACCGACACAGCCTGGGTGAAGGTGGGAGGCAGCGGAGAGCGGCTTAGCCGGGGGGGTGCGTGCAGGGGCTGCGAGCAGCTGGTTAGTAAGAGGCCCCCGCGGAGCGGCCGGGCGGGCGAGCGCACAGCCCAGCAGGGAGGCGCCAGGTCGCGTCTAGCGGGCTAAGGAGAAGGAAGATCTCACTGAAGGTGTCGGTACCTGTCTCTGCGTGTTAAACCCACAGTCACACGGCTTCGAGGAAGGAATGAAACAGAATGAAGGACACGAGTGTAAAGCAAAACATCGGATACAAGTATATACAATAAACACAGGCAGCACCCTGTCCTCCCCCCATCACTCTCACAACCCTCCTCCACGCAACACCAGCGAGGAGCCCCCACCCCCACCCCCACCCACACCCGCAGTTCCGTTTCATTAACACGGCCTGGCAGCTTTTAAATTGCACTCTCATTAGAATTTATATTCTATGAAAAGAAGAAGTCATTGGCCATACATTCAACAAAAAAACCAGGTAAATCTAATTTGTTATGAAAAGTCAATAATCCTACTACCTCCAAGTTTAAAGTTAATTGTTAAATATTCTGATTAAAAAATGCAATGATTTATTGCAGACCAATTTAACAAGATCTAAATACTTGGAATTCACATGATCACGTCATAAAATGAAATATTCTCTAGCTACACTATAGTTAATGTTCAAAACCATACTTTTCAAATTTGTGTTTTGTTTCATTAGGCATGAAGCACATATATGCACTAAAAAAATACCATTTAAAAAGAAAGGCCTTAATAGCCTCGCAGCTCAGGCAATCACCATCAGAGGGTGAAAACCCTGCAAACTATGATTAGCATGACTATTCTGGTGATGGAGAGGTTTTTGCTATGTTGTTGTTTTCTTAAAATATGTTTTTATTGATTTGAGAGAGAAACATCAGTGAGAGAGGAACATCAACTGGCTGCCTCCTGCACGCCCCCTACTGGGGATCGAGCCCACAGCCTGGGCATGTGCCCTGACCAGGAAACGAACCTGTGGCCTCTGGTGCACTGGATAATGCTCAACTCACTGAGCCACACTGGCCACGGCAATGATGGAGGTTTGAAAACTCTCATTCAAATCAGACACACTGCCATGAGCTATTTTTCTGTACCGATGAGGTTGATGGTCACAATAATCCAGAGCTGACAGCCCTGACTCCCAGGTGATGGCAGCAGGCGCAGCGAAGTCTCCCTCTCACGTCTTGTTTTTAGCTTAGCATCGACCTTATGATCAGGAGGCTCTTTACAAAGTGACTACGTGTATCTGTGGAGACTAGAAAAACTACCAAAAGCGGTGCTGAGGGAGTACGTTTACCACAAAGACCCAAACCGAAGAAAGCTATTGTTAGCTCCCCTGGCTGGAAAATGTCACTTCCTCTCGCACAGTGAGAAACAATAATTAGGTCAGAGTGACAGACGGGCTCAGCGCCGCATTTTAAGGACAAGATTTTAAAAACAGAGCAATGAACACCTGCCATGAGTGTGACTTTATTTTTACTTTAACTGCGCTCTAACATCTCCACATGTCACTACGACACCCTCCTGCTCCCTGACACTATCTCAGTCACGTCAGCCGAGGCGCTGCGCCCGCCTTACCCACGGCATCTGCGACTGTCCCGTCCAAGGCTGCGCCTGGCAACGAGAGACAACTTCATTGGGACATGATTCGCTCGACACGTCGCCAGGTCTAAGCCAGTGGTGGAAACAAAGCCGTCTACGGCTGAGGCCCGTCTTTTTCCTTTTCACCTGGGCACTGATTGGACTGTTCATGACCCTTTATGAACGAAGGGATGCACTGGCCGCTCCGGAGTTCCTCACGCCCACACTGTGCTGTCCCTCAAGCTGACCGGTTACCCCATGCCTCTCAACGAGGTGGAGGGGTGACCCCGAGGAAGCTGGCGGAGGTTGGCAGAGGGACTCGTGGCCCTGAGAGCCGCTCCCTGCGGCCTCCACCCCGGCTCAGAGCTGCTCCCTGCCCCGAGAGGGCCTGGCAGGGGCCCGGCCGCAGTGTACTCAATGCCGAAGCGAGGAGGAGGACAGGCAGGGTCTAGAAATGCTGTCAGCCTTCCCGTGGGCAAGGCTGCTCCGGGAGACCCAGCTGCCCGCAAAGCAGAGACCTGAGTAAAACCGACCACAGTCCTCGCACAGCAGCCCTGAGACCCCAACACGTGCCCGAGGAGCCCCGGGGGAGGCAGAGCCACGGGGGCCCGGGAGGCAGGTGTGCGTGGCCCAGACGAGGATGCTGAGCATCTGAGAGGCTGATGGTCTGTCCTGTGCTCCCCGGCAGGGCCTGTTCCATTACAGACCTGACCACGGCGGACAGGCCCAGAGCCGCAGGAGCAGCGAAGGCAGCTGGCATGGGGGTCGGGCTGCGTGGACTCCCCTCCCCCGGGCGCTCCCCGCCTGCACTGCTGGGGTGAGCCTCAGAGTCCCGGGTGGTCCTCGGACCGCGGGGCAGGACTGGCCGTGGGCACGAGTTCCGAGGACCCTCGAGAGGAAAGGGGGGTCCCGGGGGCCAGGCTCCTAGCTTTCCTGGTTTTATAAACTGGAGTCTGGTTTTTAATGAAGGCCTCAGGCCGAAAGGGCTTCTCTGCTTCCGCGGGGGGAGAAACGGGCCCTCCCAGCTGCGACCCGGGTGTCTTGGTCCAGGGTTACTTCCCGGCCGTCAGATCCGGCGGATGTTTGCTCTCCTATGAAAGTGGGGGAGCTAGCACGGAGGCCTGTACGTACACCCCACCGCTGGCCTGTCTGCAGTTCACCTGACAAGTCCGTGGTGGCCTCACAAGATACGCCCACGACCGTGACCCTGGCTGAGAACCACGGTCCTCCTGAGGGCCTGCTCGTCAGCTCATGAGCTCGTCGGGTGGCGGGTCGCCTCGTGGGCCCTCTGCTGCACAGGCTGTGGCTGGCTAGCTCCTGACCGTCTGCTCTCCTGGTGCCTGTTTTAAACTCATCGCTCTGTGTCTGTAATGACAATCTGTCAAAAACTGTGTGGCGCTCCTGACGCATCTGCCAGCAGCTCTCGTCACCCAGTCCTCCGCTTGAGGGACAGCTGAGCGAGCAGAGGGGCTCCATCAGAGGCACAGGGTCCCCCCAGGACCGGAAGCCCCGGGGCCACGAGGCTAAACCTCTCAGGTCCGCTGCGTCTGCACTGGCTCAGCGGTGCCGGCTGACAGTCCGCAGACGGCTGCCCCCCCCCCCCCCCCGCCCCATTTCCACCACTGCTTTCAGGTCGGCTTTGAACGAGTGTCTACTGCGACTAGGCTACAAAACACATTCTACAGCTACTGTCGTTGTTAATGTCTTAAAAGCAAAGCAGCTCGGTGAGTATCTGTTATTCACTAAGGGGTCACAAAGGGACCTTTCACGTGAGGAGAGCAGCAGACAGCGGGCACCACTGCACACAGGCCCCGCCGCCGGGACGCCCGGCCCTGTCCCGGGCTCCTTGCTGGACGAGCTCAGGAACTTCCCCGGAGCTCAGCGCACTCGCTGCCGCCTCCCCGGCCCTGTCCCGGGCTCCTTGCTGGACGAGCTCAGGAACTTCCCCGGAGCTCAGCGCACTCGCTGCCGCCTCCCCGGCCCTGAGGACCTGCAGGCACTGACCCGCCTCTGTGCCCATCGTCAGCTCGGGACAGCTGTGTCCGCAGGGCTGCACGGCCGCCGAAGGCCTCAGTGTCTGACTTCCATCGGGTCGGGGAGGGCTTTGCCCAGAGAACGGCCCTGCGTGCGTGGTCCTCGCACTGAAGGCCCTGGCGGAACTGACAGCCATTCCTGCAACGTGCAGTGACCACAAGCCACAGGCTCCTCCAGCACCAGGTGGAGATGATGGCTCCTGTGCCTGTCACTCCTGGGTAACTGAAGTCACGCAGACGCTTCAGCTAAATGTCAATGATTTTAAAAGAATCATCAACCCCTCAATGAAAACACCAAAGTGGTTCCCTTTCTCTCTCCCACTAACGTTAACTCAAAAGTAAAGTAAAAAGCTACTGTCTCCCCAAATGCATGTTTCAAGTTGAAACACTATGGATGAGCTCGGATGGTCCTTGATCCCAGTAAGCCCGGCGCTATGGACCGTTCAGGCAGCCTTAGGCTAACGGGATCTTCTCTACATGGCACACCGTCCTGTACATAAATCGAAGTGAAGGCAGAGTCTAAGGCTCATACAGTAAACGTGTTTTTATAAGTATGAGGCCTTGAATGATAAAGACACAAAGCGACTTCCAGTCGTTTGTTTGCCTGTGTTGGTTGGAGCTCTGTAATGGGGGGCGGGTACCCCAGGCTGAGCAGCTCTGTGGGCGTCTGGAAGCTGCTCTGACAAGTACCGGTTAAGAGCAGGGCTCCGCGTACACGAGGCTCCCACAGTGCGGACACCCAGGCGGGAGTGAGCCACAAAGACACGCCTGGCCTTCGCCCTCTCGCTCGGCGTGGCTTTCTGCAGCCTCGGGGGGATGTGGACTATTTTCAAAAATATTCTCCACATGGAGGCTCAAGAGAGCCAGCAGAGGGAACGGAGCTCCGCCCCGGAGGCCCTTCCTCCCACCGTCACTAACCCTCCTGGCTCGGCCAGGGGAGCGGGGACACGGCACAGCGGCTGCTCAGTCACTCCACGCGCACGGTCATTAGCAGCAGCTGCTGCCACACGCGGGAGCTGTTAGTGCCGCGGCCGAGCGAGGCGGTGCCACGCCACACACACGCATTACCCTCGGGGGGGCGGTGGGCGAGGGGAGCCCCTCCGCAGCGTCCTCCTTGATAACCTCCTGGCAACACAGAACAGAGCGTGAGGGGCAAACTGGGAGATGAACGAACGTGGCGTTAAAACCACAAAACACCGAGACCCGGGGGGACCCGATGTTTCCTTCAGCGACGACATTTCACGTTTACATACAAGGTCACGTCCTGCCTCTTTTGCCTCCCAGTTTATAACAATATACTCACAGGGACTTCCTTTTTAAATTATTTAAATTATTTAACAAACTTTATCATCAGGAACACCTAATACGTTAGCCATAAATATACTGCTTTGGATTAGATTCAAAAGTAACCACATTTGAATAATTTCCTTATCCTACTTAATTCCTGCATTAGCTTACCATGTTCTTTCCATATGTCA